CTTTTGAATGATATTTAATTTTTACAAATATGACTCTCCAACATACAGTTCTGAGACACAACATGACAAGTCTTTGAGGGAAGGGGCTTCATGAGATCTAGAAACTCTTAATTCACGGACAACTCTCCCACCCCAAAGAAGGAAACTTAGAGTTGCTCAACATTTATAGAGCCTATTAAATAGCAGTAAATCCAATCTAGGTGTTTTAAGTGAGTTGGTGCATCTTCACATAGGTGCCATTTTAAAATAATGGCTAATTAAATGAAATCTAAAACCTGTTGTCCTTTCAGATTTTTCCCCCATGAGACACAACAGTGATAAATGTAGGAAAATTTAAATGACAAGTTACATTCTCTTTGTCAGAGCTGTTTTTATCCCTAGTGTGAAATCAGAGATTTTCATCTCAACTTTGTCCTTTAACATTTTTCAAATGTTACATTGTGCTATTTTTAATCCTGGAAAAAATGCACATGATTGCTTTTTTTTTTTTTTTAAGTCTCCATGCATGGTATCTCTTGACTAGTAGGAATCTGAATTGGTGAAATGCCCAAATACTAATATAGAGCCAAATAAAGGAAGAACCTGCTCACTTGAAGCCAGGGTAAGCACGTTGTGTCCTTTCATGGTTTTGATGCTGTACTCTAGCTATACAAGGTGCTCACAATGGGGAGGCTGAGTGAAGGGTGCATGGGACTTTGCTGTACATTTTTGTAACTTCTTGTGAATCTCTAAGTATTTCAAAATTAGTTTTTTAAAAAAAGTGAAGCAGCCCCCCAGATAGCCCGCACACACAGAAGCGTTGGGCTGTATTCCTGAGTGTGGTCGTGTATAGCACGTGGCCCTTCAGGATCAGGGCGACCACCTCACTCCCTGGAAATTCTGGCTCTGCCGGGGCGCGAGGTGGGGCCCAGGCACCCACTGGCACCTCAGGAGAGCGCCCCCCGCTGCCCTAGCCCGACCCCCGAGGCAGAGCCCGGCCCGAGGGACCAGGCCCCAGCAGGAAGAAAGGTGTGGAGGGCCTCCTGAAGCCCCCATTGGGCACAACCCTTCTGGGCTCAGAGGCTCTGCAGAGCTGGGGCTCCCGGACGGACGGACGCACTCCTGATGCGCAGTCCCCAGGCTGTGAAGTCAAGTCACTGCGAGACCGGCGCGTGCAGCCAGCTTGATCATTACCTGGCTCACGCGCCCGACTCCCCGATCCATCCTCAGAAAGGAAAGTGCTCTCCCCGTGGCACTTCGGTTTCCCAAAGAGAGGCTCCCAAGCAACCCAAGGATAGAGTTGGGAATCACTGGAAATGGTAACCTGCTGATAAAGTTCTAAAAGACTCAAAGCCTTAAAAAATGTATTTGTCTGTAAGAGAAAATAAATGACAGCTAAAAATCTCAAGGCATGTAATCTGTTAACTTTAGGTTTTAACAGTTTTCAGACAGGAGCTTAAGACTTGTCACAAGTCACCACTTGTAGATGAATTTTGTACTTTGTAATAATGAGGTACAGATGAAGGGTTTTGTTGCCTTGCTTTAATGCTTAGGAAGTTTTTTTGTAATAATCCACCTTTATGTTACCCTGTTGAGAGCTTGTGTTTTAAAACTCTTGCTTCGTTCTCTTACCTGAATCTCTAAGAGGGGAAAAAAAAAAAAAGGTAAAAATTAAAAAATCCGGGAAATAAGTCCGGGTACATCCAACTTTAGAAAATATCCGCATTGGTTCTTTTGGAATGCTTACCTCAGTGGAGCCAAGTCTCGACAACTTCACATTCACATTGTGTTTTTCTTTAAAAACTAACAAGTAATGCTTTTTAAAAATATTTTTTCTTGGGGTGCCTGGGTGGTGCAGTCGGTTAAGCATCCGATTCTTGGTTTTGGCTCAGGGTTGTGGGATTGAGCCCCATGTTGGGCTCCATGCTCAGTGCAGAGTCTGCTTAAGGCTCTCCCTTCCTCTCCCTCTCCCTCTCCCTCTCTCTCAAATAAATAAATAAAATATTAAATATATATATTTTTTCCTTATAATTGTAACGAGCTAATTTATTTGGATGGTTAAAATATTGGTTTAAACACCTGGTCTTTTTTACCTTAAGCTCCAATTCGGTATTAGATGTGCTCCTGTGTATTTCATGACCAGGACTATCTGGCTGTTGGGTGATTCATAAACTTTCCTGAAATATCTGAGCTCCAAGTCTGGCTCTTAGCTCTTAACCTGGGAGTTGTTTCCATCATAGAGTTCTCAGAGGCATGTTTTCGAGGTAAAGGATGCCAGTTCATTGACTCATCCTGTTCATCTGGATGTCTTTAGAATGTGAAGTGTTTTTCCAGAATGATTTCTTGAGAAAGGCCACCTGAGATGTTGCTACCATGAGGACGTTGTACCCACTCTCCTATTGACAACTTTTTATATTACTTGTATTCAGCGTTCCCTTAAAGCAAACATATTAAAGAAATTATGGAGATAATTTCGGTTTGGGCTATATAATTTTCATCTTCTGATAATTTTGTAAACTTATCAGTAATTTTAATATAAGATACAAGAGAATATGTGAAGCAAGAACGGAGTTGCTTTATTATTCATGACTGAGAAATAGTTACATTGAAAATGCTGCTGGCAAGTCAAAGGACACTAATAGCATTAACACACATGACGATTTTTGTGGAGAGAAAGCTTCTTTGAGTTAGTAATTTTATTCTTTGTTTTTAAAAGGCTGCCATATTCACTTGAGCTCCAGGGGAAAGGTGCAAATAACTAAAAACAAACAAACAAAATAAACAAAAACACTCATTTCAAGAAAGCGGCTTATAGGTCTTCTTCTAAAGGGAATGACAGCCCTGTGTCTCAAACCACCTGGCATCTACACATACATCAGCAGCACAGTATTCAGAATTGATCAGTGTAATATCCAGTACTCAGGTGTCACCAAGACAGTGCTTTGATACGTGCTACGGATTCTGTTGAGGGATAAACGAGTGCACCGTACACTTTAGTACTATTTCCATCAAAAGTCCCCCTGTCTTTGAGTTAAACTGAAGTTAACAGAAATCACGTGTTTCCCGAGTGGTAGGAATAATTAAGTATTGCTGTGGATTCAACGAATTGCTTAGCTAGATCAGTATCATGTGGTCAGTGTGCTACCCATTGTAGAATACACAGCATTTGGGCCTACCACTGCCTGGATTGAGACCTGCTGAGGGTGCCCTGTGCTTTAAAAAAAAAAAAAAAAAGAAAGAAAGAAAGTTTAAGAAGACAGTCCAGAGAGCAGTCTCTTAAACCTCTTCCTTTTTGAATACATAAAACTGTTGCTGCCAAGCAAGGCTTTTCCAGAAATGCTCTGTAGTGTGGGGGAGGGGATGCTGGCATGCACAGTTGTAGGACGACAACAGAGGAAAAAGTGCCCAAACCCAGTGCTTCCAGAGAAGGTGGTAGTACAGGGGCTCTATAGGCTTGACATTTTCCCTGGGGCAACAAATATGTATTCTGCCTACTATGGACCAGATACCGTTCCAGTTATGGGGGATGTAGGATGTGACCAAAGCAGGTGTCTGTCTGTCTTTATGGAGCCCATGGCCTAGGGGAGGGGACAGTGGGAGTCCAACAGTAAACAAGTATACATATAATCTGTCAGGTGGTCATAAGTAATAGGGGGAGATAAAATGGGAAGGAGAATGGGGGATGCTGTTCTGGGGGGGGGGTGGAATAGCATGCAGTTTTTCTATAGGGTGTCAGAATAAGTCTCACTGTTGAAGGTTACATTTGGGCAGAGATGTGAAAGAAGTAAAGGGGAAAGCCATGGAGGAAAAGGATTCCAGACAGCTGGACGGCAGGTAGAAAGGCCCTGATGTTGGTCTGTGCTTGATGCTTTGGGGGAAGAGCACTGGAGGCCAGTGTGGCTGGAGTGGAGTGAGCAATGGGAGAGCAGAGGCCTGATAGGGGCTGTGGCCAGAGGGTGGACAGCCATATGTAGGCTATTGGACAGACTTCTGCTTTGACTCCAAGTGAGATGGAAAGCCACAGGAGGATTTGGGGCAGGGGAATGACTTGAGCTGACTTAGGTTGTGACACCATTACTCTGACTTTAGAGGTAAAGAGGAGAGTAGGGGACCAGTTAGGTTATTATAATGATGCAAGCGGGAGATGGTTGAGGCTTAGACCAGGGTGGTGGCAGTGAGTTGATGAGGATAACACCAAGGTTTTGGGCTCAACTAGAAGGATGGGGCTGCCATCTACTGAAAGGGTGAAGGAGGAGGGGAGGGTGTAGGAAGAGCAGGATGGGAGGCGTTCAAGGGTTTGGCTTTGGATGTGTTAACTTCAGAGTCGTCCTCTGGAGGCAGGCTGGAGTTGTGGTGCGGTCCCTTGGACAGCCAAGTGTGCAGATCCAAGTCGGGGCTGGAGAGCCATAGGTACTTAGGGGTCACTAGAGTATAGATGGTATTTGAAGCTGTGAAATTCATCAATATTGCCTCCATGGTGAGCACAGAGAGAGAAGAGAGGTCTGGGTCCTGTCGTTTCGCAGAGATCAGGGCATTGATTCAGAATTCACAGAGAACCATTAATTGAGAATTTTCCTAATGTCCCTTTTTAAATAGATAAACATGTCATTATTCCCTTTTGAGATAGTTGTCTGTTTAGTAATTATTCCTGAATTTCCTTTTTTTTTTTTTTTTAAGTGACTTTTACCTGATCAATTGCTAATACTGTTCAAAATGGATAGGTGTGTTTTGGTCTAGAAACCTGATTTTTGTGGAACATCATTTTAAAAAGGACAAATTAAAAAAGATGTTTGTAGCCATAGAAAATTGAGGTCTCAGAAGTAATGATTACTCAAGCTAGAAGGTAGCATTAAGTCTAGTCTGTATTTTCCACTCTTACTCCTTTTTGAAAGTCTCGCTTTGGATCGTGATTTCTTGGTAGGCAAACCTGGTGGGTGAAAACTCGGAGGACGTAGTATTAGTAGACTGTTAGTTCCGTCACGCGGAACTTTAAATTCTTTTTTTCCTTTTGCCTTTTCTAGCCCATATTTGCGTTTCTAAATGAAGAAAAGTTTAACGTGGATGGGTGGACAGTTTATAATCCAGTCGAAGAATACAGAAGGCAGGTAAGTCATGTGGTGAATCGCAAACATGCCGGGTGACAATATGTTGTTGGTCATGCTCTTTGAGCATCAGTGAAATCCTTGCAAAGTCTAGCTTAAATGGCAGTTATAGCTTATTTTATCTATTACTCTGTAATTTATGAGCTCATTCCATAGCCATATGATATGCTGTTCTTGAAATGAATCACATATTTGGAGTCTAGAAGAGTCAAACTTCTATATCTTACTATTTAGGAGTTCATGTCACTATATATTTACGTATCTGGGAGCATAACTATCACTGACAGCTAGATTCAAATTATATTTATTCTGGTTTGCAGATTGAAATGAATTAGAACGGTTTCCCTGTAGTGATGACTTTTCCAAGAAAACTTTGATGAATGTATATTAAAATTGCTTTTATTGCTCTCTTCTGTAGACTTCACCCACGTGCATGATTATGTGCTGTAACAAAGGCAAGAGGCTTGATACAGTGTTGCTGTTCAGGGACAAAGGTCTCTTGTGGCATTTTGTGAAGAAGAGCCTGTGCATTTTATGTACAAGAGCCACAATTTGACCTCTGGTTTAACCAAATCTGTGGACCAGCTAGGAGTTTTGTGATGGAGTTTTTCATAGTTCTCATCCTATACAGCTCTTAAAATAATTGGGAACTTTTGTCGAGTGAGCTTTGAGAATCAGATCAAGCCCAATTGCCTTCTATGAAAAGGCAGTGAATGTAAAGTAAAATCTTAGAACCCTAGACTTGAGAAGAACCTTCTAGCCACCACCTCCACTACCAAGCACCCGCGTTGATTTTTTTTTTTTTTTTAGCCTTGACCAGTGGTGTGCATATTTGTAAGCAGATTTGATGCTCAGGAATGTGGGTGCAGGAGTTAAATCACATGCATGAGGTAGTATGTCCTCTGCAGCTTTAGACTGTTAAGGTTTCAAAGGCTATATATACCTCTCATTTTAATGACCTCTGTTCTGGGTCAGTTATTGAGGCAGAAGAAAGACCATGAAAACATTTTGCATGTTCTGGAGACCTCTGTAGCAGTATGTATTTAAGTATCTGTACCTTAGTTTTGGAGTATTGCTGACAATATTAAGATTTATTTTTTAGATCAGTGTTTCTAGCTTGAAACAAGACAGTTCATGGTTAAGATTGCATGCATATACGAACTGTTGAAAGGTATCTTGTTTTAGACTGCCATTATATTTCATCTTTTCTTCTTATAACTTTCTCATGGGACTTAAAACTCTCTAATTGGACTCAGCATCAGACTCACCTGTTTGGTCCGTGGTCTATAGGACCAGACCTAAGGAAAAGGTACAATGTCTGTCCCCAAAGCAAGCACCCACATAGCTCACCTTTGTGTGTGTATTTGTGTATTTGTGAGTATGGGGAGAGAATATTCCACCACCTCTGGATCTTGTCCATACTAGATACGGTTTTGTGGGTGGATGACAGGATGGGAGGTGTACTCTGTGTCTCCCTGTCACATTAGCAGTGTGCTTAGAATGCAGATGGCTGTATTTCTCACGCAACCTATAGAGTGATCACCGATCCCAAACCACTTGATTGAAAAAGCTTTTAGGAGGTGGCGAAATGAGCCTCCCCAGAGGGGTTTTCCTCTGTTTCCCCTCTGTGACTTTCTTCATAAACTTAACTTCTTTCTACTTTGGAGCAGACTGAAGCATTCACTCTGTTTTGAGTAGGGATAGGAAGTAGCCCGATCTCTTTTCTACCATCAGTTAGACACAGGTTGAAACTACATGATGCACTTTTCTTTGGGGTGGGGGTGGGGTACACAGGTGGGCGATGAACTTGGGTTTATCTTTATTGTACAAGTAGTAAGAAATAGTTTGACATGAAATAAAGGAAGATCTCAAATTCAAGAGAATCTGTATTGACCAATGATATTTCAGAATTATGGGAGCCACCAGTGTTTTGTCTTGTGTTCTTCTGTTGTCTGGATTACGGATCTGGCTCCCTTTAGTACAAATGGTAGACTGTCCCTACCCTGTGGTCAAAGAGGCATGTGCAGATTCTGCTAGAAAGAAGGAAGGAGAGCCAAGGCCAAATCCAGAGATGAAGTTTTGCAGTACTGACTTAGACTTCCTTTTTTCCTACAGGGCTTGCCCAATCACCACTGGAGAATAACTTTTATCAATAAGTGCTATGAACTCTGTGACACTTACCCTGCTCTCTTGGTGGTTCCATATCGTGCCTCAGATGATGATCTCAGGAGAGTTGCAACTTTTAGATCCAGAAATCGAATTCCAGTGAGTACTACAGTTTCCCTCAAAGATTGCCTTTTATCCCATAAGAATAGTAGTTAAGTCAGAGAAACACTCTTGGAATTTCAGTCCACTGTATAATTTTTAAGTGCCTTCTGAGTGCAAAGTACTATGCCAACTGGGAAAAGAAGTAAGACAGCACCCATCTTCCAGAGCTCACAATCAAGGTCAGAGAATGAGCGTAAACTAATTCTCATATGAGAGAGGGTATAAATAATGCATAGATCAACCAAGTGCTAGCTGGAAGGAAAGAAGGAAGGACAGGGGTTTTATGGTTTTCAGCCTTTGTAGTACCATACCTGACATGTGACGGGCTCCCCATGAGCGTCGGCTGAATCATACTGGAAACAACACACCGCCTGTCTTCTGTTATAATAGAGCACATGAGTGCCGGCTTTAGTAGGTCTAGCTCGTCCTCATCGTGTTTGCAAGCTGCCTGAATGCCATTAGCCTACTGGAGCCAAGTGCAGATTATTCCAGACAGTATACTTACGGTATCATTGGACCTAGTTCACAAAGTTCTCTTTGGCTCTAAAATATTTATGTATGAGTCATACCGTCTACTTTGTGTGCATAAATTTTATTGACTAAAAATTTAGAGAGAATTCTTTCCCCTCTTAATTTTCAGGACATGTCATAATAAGTACGTTGTTTTGTTTTGGTTTTCTAAATAACAGATTTTGGAAAAATAAGGATTGAGGAAATTAAGATTTAATGTCACCTTGCCTTTAACTCCAAGTCTAGACATTTTTTGTCCTTAAAAGGACATTTGTGTGAAACTTTTGTATGATGTCAACATAATAGGAATCACAGCTTTTAAAATTCACTCGCTCCTCTAATTATGAGTATCTGTTCATATGTTAATGATCTATATCATACTTGAACATATGTTCTTTAGCTCATTTTGCTAGAATGTAGTGCCAGCGAGGCTAGAGTTACAAGTTTACTTACTCCTCTTCTGCTCCGTTGTGACATACTTTTCTGTGCCATAGCCATAGACTCCACCCCTGCCTTGGCCAGCTGTCTCGCCTACAGGAGAACTAGGCTAGGATCAATTTTGTTCATGCCTTCATTCAGTTGAACATCTACTGTGTCAAGCGTGTGTGTGTGTGTGTGTGTGTGTGTGTGTGTGTGTGTGTGTGAATTCATGGGATTTGGGGCAGGAGAGGAGACAGTGCCCAGTCCACTGTGCTCAGGTGCCATCTGGACCTACTATTCTCCACTACCCTGAGTGAACGAGAGTCTACCGTAGAGCCAATAGAATGCTTAACTTTTTACTTATTTAGCCATTTTATTGATCCTTCTTACTTCATAATGGCCACCAATCTGCCTTTATTTTTCCTAGTAAAGGCTAACCTCTCCATCATGTCTATATCTTTATAGATCACCATGCTTAAGAATATTTAATAGTAGATAATGTCATCTCTCTGATAACCTTCTAACCACCTGACTCTTGACTATACCCCAGAAAATGTATTTGATTTTAATGTGAAATCATTAATATTTGATATTCAGTTATTTTTTAAAAGCCCATATAAAAATACAAAAAGAATTGATGAGAAAGCACTCTTGTTATTGTGTGCATAAATAGGACATGAACGATTATAAGATATTGTTGAATAACAAAATGATCCACGTGCATCAGTGTTGCCATTAATGCATACATCTGTTCTCATATGCATTCCTGTGTTCTCTCAAACAGGTTTGTCTTCAAGTTACAGAAGTCCTTACATATAAGTAATACATAGTTATTTTAGATATTTTACAAAATGCCGATAAGCAAAAAGGAGTCTGCCACCTAGTGAGAACCACAGTTAACATTTTGGTCTACGTCCTTCCAAACTTCCTTCTATGCAAACATATTTTTATTAAAAAAAAATGAAATTATTCTGTAATTTGTGCCTCAGTCCACTTTCTCTGCGTAGCATCCTCTTGGAAAGAGATGAGTGTGTGCAAGGGTGTCGGTGTACCGTAATGTATTATATCCGTTTTCTGTTGTGAGACATCTGGGTTCCTTTTAATCTTATACTATTATAAACAGTGCTGCGATCAACATCTTTTGGTGGCTAAATATGTGTGTACATCCTTAATTATCTATGGCTTCTAGATACCAACCTTAATCGGAACAACCTAATATAGTACCGTATACTTTGAAAGCAGTCATGGTAGTTGGTGTTATGAAGTGATCATTCTTTATACCTGTGAGTCAAACAGCAAGCATCCTTTTTAATAAGATAGTCGCGATCCCAAAAGAAAAAGAAAGAAAGCGAAACAGCTTACAAGAGTAGCATTTCTTAATGGCATGGTGGTTCCAGCCTTAAATCTCCCAGGCAGGGAGAAGAGGGGTGGAGGAAGGGAGGGCACTGTGGTGGCACACGGCAGTTTCTTGCCTAGGGCCTGATTTAAATTTCAAAGTTGGCGCAGGTGTTTATCAAATAACAAGCCTCTTGTATGTGTAGCAGTGTGCTCTTTTAAAGGTGATCTTGTATCAAATCCACATGTTGTACCAGCTTAAACTTACAGTGTTGTAGATCACTTATATCTCAGTAAACCTGAAAAATTAAAAATACATACATACATGCATAAAAGGAATCTCCTGTCTCTCACCTGTCTCGAAACAAGGGCCAAAGGAGGCAGGCTGGGCCGGTGTCACCTCCACATTGTTGGTTGGAAAATGGAGGTCCAGGAGACCAGTGCTTGTCCCAGGGCTTCCCAGTTCTGAGCCTTTGGACTCTTAGGGGCCACAGTGGTGTTTTTACCGGTCTCTGGCATGGCACAAAGACCCAGTGAATGAGTACCCATTCACGCTACTGTATAATCGTTTTTCACTAACTTGTTGTCACTATTATGCACATCAGTTTTTATGAACATCAATGCTTATCATTTGCCATCATGGAGGGGGTGACTTCAGAGGTGAAAACACATTTGGCCTTGTAGTAAGTGAGCTTCTTCAGTTCTTGCATCTGCTTTTCACAGTTTTCCCTATCTGACTTCACGGGCCACCTGGCCTGCCCGTGGAACTTACTTTACATGTGTTCTTTGCTCATCCTCCCAGCAGGGCCATGGAGTCATGTTCCCCCCCCCCCCATTTGATGGAGGAGGAGAGGGGAGCAACAGAGACTGTGAGCTCCATGCCCGGGTTACAGCCACAACAGAGATGTGCCGCCCCAGAGCCCACACTGTTGCCCACCACAGTCAACTTCTGGCTCCCTTTTTGTTTTGTTTTGTTTTGTTTTTAACAGCTTTGAGATCTAATTCACCTACCAAACAACTCACCCACTTAAAGTGGACAGTTCTATAGTTTTTATTGTATTACATTGTTAGCTCCCTTTTACAGGTGTTGTTTCTCCTGCACCGCAAGCTTAGAAACCAGGTAACCCCCATGCTAGGCTTGTGTGCTGTGTGGCTCTCCAAGCTTCGTTGTGGGAACTCTGGCAGCTCTGTGGTCATCCTGAGAGCTTTTTTTTTTTTTTTTTTTTTTTTTTTTTGCTTCCCTTGGGTTTTTCTCCCCACTATGTGAGATTCTAGAATTGAGACTGTGGGGGAGATGACCGTGAGTTGGTATTATAGAAACACATTGTAGCAGAGATGATTTCCTTTATGTCTCACTTCTTGCTAAAGCTTGTTTCTGTCTGAGAAATCCAGCGCAGGCTACAGAACTGAAGTAGTGTCAGAAGCTTTTTATATCCTTTAAGTGATAGAACTTTTTTTTAGGTAAGCATTTAACCTCTACGAGATGTGGTGCTAATTAAGAAAAGACTAGTAAAGCAATTGGTTATTCTAGTTGTCTCTGAATAGTCCTTGTTGTGCACACACTGTGAAATCACAGGTAAACAAGTATTCTATTCTGGCCAAATCAGACTCACTTCACCATGATTGTGCTTTATTTTTTTTTTTTATTATTTCTAACAGTTTTGAGATTTGTTTTTTTTCTTGATAGCTTAAAATTTCTGAACTCATCGTAGGTGCTGTCATGGATTCATCCAGAAAACAAGACCGTCATCGTGCGTTGCAGTCAGCCTCTTGTCGGTATGAGTGGTAAACGGAATAAAGATGATGAGAAGTATCTCGATGTTATCAGGGAGACTAACAGACAAATTTCTAAACTCACAATCTATGATGCAAGACCCAATGTAAACGCAGTGGCCAACAAGGTGAGTATATTTAGTGACACGCTAGATGCTTATCTTATGGCCAGCATGCCATGCTTTACGTGAATGTTTTTGCATGGTGTGTCAACAGGTGGGCTTAATAATATTAATAGCTAAACTTAGTTGAAATGGGAAAACTGGTTTGCTGAGGTAGGATGTAGTTTTAACCACAAAGTGTATCTTGAAAGTCGAATCTATTAAGATCAAATGAGAATAACCTTTAGGTAAATTAGGTGGGTATAGAACGGTAATGAACTTCAGTTTTGGCAAAAGTTGGAGTCTCTTTGGAGCTCTTTAGGCTGTTCTTGATCCCTCTTGATATATAGACTGCTGAAGCATCGACGAGGAGTTGTGGGAGGCCGAAATTGTTAAAATCCTCAATCTGTAGCTTTATCCAGACGGTCTCTTCACTATTCTCATGAATGGGTCTTCTCAGTTATAGAAGATAATTGAAGAAATGAGTAGATCTCTGTACACGGATTTTATAGTCATGTGCACACAGTGTTACTGTTTTCAAAGAAAATCTGTCTCCATTGTCTTCTTGGCTTCTTACGCAGAGTATGCCGAGTGCCCCTAAAGTTGATCGGGGTCATCATTGTGAACATCAGTGACTAGGCAGTGTTGCTTTCAGAAGCTTCCACAGAATCTGCCGCAGTGTGTAAGGCCATTTGTACACTGAGCAGCCCCAGATTATTATGCTTTTTACATTCGACTTCTCCTCTTTGTTTCGTTTTTCCCTCTCCTATCATTTCCAGCTGTCACTCGTAAGTGCCCACGGCGGGCCTGCCCTGGGCTCTTCACCGCCATTGCGCCTTTCAGAGTTCTTGTTTCTCATCAGCCGTAGGCTGAAATGTCATCATCGTGAATACTTTGCTTATCCGAGGTCACTTTTCTGGCATCTTCAATTAGTCATTGCACAGAACAAGACCCTGAAAGCAAAACAAGTCCTCAAGCAGCTTGGCGAGATGCAGCAGCTTCCTAAATGGAAGGGTGTGTAAAACGGCGTGCATGTGCAGCTCCGCTCGCCATTATTTGCACACGAATTGTGTGTCTTACACGTTCACATCTGCGGAATCCCCTCTGCTCCCTGTGTGCTCTTGGCCCAGCTAACTGTTATTGCAGTTGATTTTTGTTTCAGTAATGGAAATGATTTTGAAATTATAGGTAAAGCAATCAGGGAGTGTTGTTGACGAGTAAATTAGGAAGTAGAAGTAAAACATTTAGGAAATTAAGTCTAGAGATGAATATCTTCTGGCATTATTTGTAATGTTAGATATTTCTGTTCCATCCCTCATATATAATTCAGAGTTGAAAACATGTATAAAATGCAATACTTGCATGTATACATTTAACCTGAAATAGATATGATGTAACATTAAAATGAGGTATTCAGAAAGATTATTTTAAAATATGAAAATGTATAAAATGATTACCTTTATCATACTAACTTTAAAGCTTATTGTGATAGCAGTAGAATCTTTTTTTCTCCCCCACCAGCTTCCGAGCAGAATTCTTGAATGCCTTTTTTAACACTCAGGAAATATGCCTGTGTTACTAGTGCTCTTAGGAATGAAGGGAAGGAAAAAATTAAGGAAAAAACCTAGGCTTTAAAGATCTCTGCAGCATTCTTTAAAAACCAAGCTCCCGTTCCCTCCTCCCTCAGCTGTCTCTCTCCCCTAGTCATCTACATCCATAGCAACAGGCCCTTGAACCTTTATGTCGTCATACTAGATAATCAGGGTTGTTCTTTTTGTTGAAGAGAAGGAAACTGAAAAGACTTCAAAACTAACCAGAGATGGAGAATTTGAACTTTTGGGAACTCAATCTATGCTTGGCTAATTGATTTTTACCCTTCTGACTTCTGTTCTCTTGGGACCTGATCGTTCCTCCCTTGTGGATATTTAGAAATTTACAAACCCCCCCCAACGTAATAATCAACATTGCACCATTATAAAGTAAACAAAACCCAGGCAAGGGGCAAAAAATCTATTTTGCCTTTTATTTTTCTGCATGTTATCTTCAGTTATTTATGAAAGAAACTCCAGCCTTGAGAATCTCTATGAAAATCACTGTAACTATTTAAAAACCACATGGGTAGAGAAGCAGGTCATCCATGGGAGGATGACTTGTCATTGCATTAGAGGCTCGCAGCTCTGGCAAAACTGAGGCTCGCTGTTTGCTCCCAGGCCGCGTGCCTGCAGTTTACGGAAGTGACTGCCAGGTGGATAGGGGCACCTCTGTCGGCCTCTGATCAGAGCCACAAGGTGTTATGTGCCCTGAGGCATGGATAACCAAGAAGAGGGAAATAGGGCTCATCTGTCTATTCATTAGCTAATAACTTTTTTAAAAAACAACAAGTTTGAATGTGTCTTGTCTACTTATACTGATGCTGTTTGTGACAAGCTTTAAAAATATATTTCTAAATAAAACCTATTTTCTTACCTAGAGTCCGGGAAGACCAAGACCTCTGGCTTGTACATAGGTCTTTAGGTTTGAAATTCAAGTGGTTACCTTACTTCTATCCTGCAGGAAACCAGTGTGACTTAACCCTGGAAAAAAACCATGGGATGCACTGGCCCTTCTGTTCTGAGTTACGAGTTATATATTCTTTCTATTGTTATAAATAAAAAGAAAAGAGGCAAAATGTAGCAACAGCACATTTGTCCAATGCCTTCCCCTTCCATTTCAGCTTGGAGAGCGGTGCTTTCTTGGCAAGTCTCTGAATTATTTAACTTTTTCTTAAAGGGCCAGAGGCCACATGTGCCATGGCATTTTAAAACATGAGGCAGAATGCAGCCATTCCATTTCTTTTGCTTTACATGGAAAATGGGTGTCTTTGCCATGCTGGGAAGCGGTCCGGATGCCTGTCCTGGCAAGTCACTCCTCACAGATGCCGTGGCAGATGATGGCCAGCTTGTCTCCTCTTGAAACCTTTTGCTCTTTGAGGGCCTGCTCGGCGCGGTGCAACTCTCTGTCCCTGGTGTTTGCGTGGCAGACAGGTGGTCACGGTGCACTAGAAAAGGTCTGGGCCTTGAACCCGGACACCTGGAATTCTACTCATTACTGTGTACCTTTGGGGATCTTTAAATAGCACCTCTCCTCATTGACGAAATGGGGATAGTAATACCTCTCCGGCGGCATTGCTGTAAGAATTAGATCAGAGGATGTAAAGCAGGAGTCTTAGTATCTGGGACTTCACTGGGGCTCACTAAATGGTGGCTGGTGTGAACTGTGACAGAGTAGGACTCCTTTTAATCCTGTTTAGCCTACCTAGTGTTCTCACTGAGGCTCAGAGAGGTTGAGTGCTTTGCCTCAAATCACAGAGCAAAGAGGGGCTGAAGCTGAGCGCCGCGCCCCGCCCCTCTCCCGCTGCCGAAGAGTGCTGCTGCAGAACCCATGGAGGAAAAGAACCCTTGAGAACCGCTCTTGCCTTTCCAGGTCCAGAAGAAGAGCTAGTAATTATGGAACATTTTGAAGTGATTTTTTTTCTTGCAAATACAGATCCCCAGGAAATTGTCAGCTTGCTGTTTTGTTTGTTTGTTTGTTTGTTTTCTCCCCCCCCCCCCCCCCCCGCCCCGAGCTCAGAGTGTGACTGATGTTGTTGAGGCTCAGTGCTGGATGGGAAGTCGGGTCACGTCAATCATTGCATCCAAGCTGGAAGGTTTTAGGTTGAGATTTGGAGGACCAGTAACTTGAAATATTTGTGTACGTTTTCTGATGAAATAGAAAACCCAACTGACTGTTTGTGTGTCTTGCTGTTCCTCAGGCAACCGGAGGAGGATATGAAAGTGATGATGCATATCATAACGCCGAACTTTTCTTCTTAGACATCCATAACATTCATGTCATGCGGGAATCTTTAAAAAAAGTCAAAGACATTGTTTATCCTAATGTGGAAGAATCTCACTGGTTGTCCAGTTTGGAGTCTACTCATTGGTTAGAACATATCAAGGCAAGTATATTTTGAAAAAAAAAAAATGTACATACCTAAACAAGAAAGTCATTGTTTAGTGGGACAGGAATCTTTTTTAATTCCTTCAATTTTATTTTTTTTAAGATTTTATTTATTTATTTGACAGAGAAAGACACAGCGAGAGAGAGGGAACACAAGCAGGGGGAGTGGGAGAGGGAGAAACAGGCTTCCCGCCGAGCAGGGAGCCCGATGCGGGGGGCTCGATCCCAGGACCCTGGGATCATGACCTGAGCCGAAGGCAGACGCTTAACGGCTGAGCCACCCAGGTGCCCCTAATTCCTTCAGTTTTAAAATTGAGCAGTGACAGATGAAATAATTGTTGTATAGGGTTCTACATTTGATAGTTTTGTACCTCTTCATAAAATGCTTACCTTAAGTTAAAGATTTCACAACATCACTCCAAAACAGTTTGAGAGTTTGTAGAGATGTCACTTTCCATCTTGTCGGTAGTAAGTTAGTTCCGTCTTCCATGCGGGTTTGTTTAGAAACAGCCAATTTATTATCCAACCGTTACTGGGTATGATCCTCAAGGACCTAAAGAGAGATTTTTTTTTATTGAAACTTATCTTCTCAAATTGACTTACCTTAAAGAATGAACTTTGTGCTTCGATTATATTCAATCCTTCATCTTGATAAAAGCATCAAAAACTTCCAGTCTTTTAAAGTACTTGAAGCTGAGGGAACTAATACCTTTAGAAGGTACCTTTTTGTTGTGTAAACAAACAAAGAGCCTACGTTAGATAGGTGCATTATTAATATAAATTGTTTTCTCGTCAAATTTTACTTTCAAACTTGATAGGAATCATATTTTTATTTGGCCTAACTTTCATTTTTTCTTAATTTGTCATTCTCAAAAATGAATTGCAAAACCAATTAATTGTAACAGCTAAGGTAATGTGGGGTCCTAGATGGGATCCTGGATTAGAAAAAGGACACTGGGTGAAAACTAAGGAGACCTGAATAAACTGTGGACTCTATTAAAAATAAGTTAAGAAGTTTATTAATAATTGAATAACATGTCAATATTGGTTCACAGGTGGGGCAAATGTACCATACCATCATAGGATGTCAGTGATAGGGGAAACTGGGTCGAGTATATGCAAACTTTCTGTAGTACCTTTATAACTTTTCTATAAATCTAAAACTACTCTAAAATAAAACATTTATTGTTAGAAAGTATCGCACTCTTCATAGGCAAAGCATCATGCTAGACCCTCTGAATGGAAAAAGGTATAAGACGTACTTCCTGCCTTTAAAGAGGTTTGTACGGTTGGAGAGGTGACATGCACGTGTAACGAGAAAGCTAATGCTCCATGGTACAGTGTGTTAAGTGCCAACAGGCCTTCGTGGCAAAGGCAGTGGAAGTAACAGGGCCTTTGGGATTTGGTGGGGCTTGAAAGCAGAAGGGATGAGGGGACCCATTCTAGAGAAAGAGGCAGTCTGGACGAAAGCCCAGGAACAGGCCTGGGTGAGGCCTAGTCGGGAAGAGTAGACTCCTACTCTGAGCTAGATAGGAAAGAGACTGGTCAGAAGTAGGTCTTCTTCAATGGCTCAGGTGTCTGAGGAAATTAGGAGTCAAGGCCATCTGCGTAAGCTGCAGTGTGGAAGTTAGGACCTACGGAATATGGAAAATGCTTTAAAAGGCCCCTGTAAGTTTTTATAGGCTTGTCCAAAGAGAGGGAGATACAAAAGAAATGAAAGAAACTGTCAGTGTCCTCCGGCGAGGCCAGCTTTACTAACTGGGGAGCCCAGATAGACACCTTAGTGACGTCTGACTCAGGGTTTCTCAGGCATAAGTCACATTGTGCTAGAAGATGGGGGAGCAGACGGCATCAGGGAAATCCAAATCAAAACCTCAATGAGATACCACCTCACACCAGTCAGAATGGCTAAAATTAACAAGTCAGGAAATGACAGATGTTGGCGGGGATGCGGAGAAAGGGGAACCCTCCTACGCTGTTGGTGGGAATGCAAGCTGGTGCAGCCACTCTGGAAAACAGTATGGAGGTTCCTCAAAAAGTTGAAAATAGAGCTACCCTACGACCCAGCAATTGCACTACTGGGTATTTACCCCAAAGATACAAATGTAGTGATCCAGAGGACCATATGCACCCCAGTGTTCATAGCAGCAATGTCCACAATAGCCAAACTATGGAAAGGCCAAGATGTCCATCGACAGATGAATGGATAAAGAAGATGTGGTGTATATATACAATGGAATATTATGCAGCCATCAAAAAAAAAACCTGATATCTTGCCATTTGCAACGACGTGGATAGAACTGGGGGGTATTATGCTGAGTGAAATAAGTCAATCAGAGAAAGACATGTATCATATGACCTCACTGATATGAGGAATTCTTAATCTCAGGAAACAAACTGAGGGTTGCTGGAGGGGTGGGGGTGGGACGCATGGGGTGACTCGATGATAAGACATTGGGGAGGGTATGTGCTATGGTGAGCGCTGTGAATTGTGCAAGCCTGTTGAATCACAGATCTGTACCTCTGAAACAAATGATACATTATATGTTAAAAAAAATAAGATAGCAGGAGGGGAAATATGAATGGGAGAAATCGGAGGGGGAGATGAACCATGAGAGACGATGGACTCTTGAGAAACAAACTGAGGGTTCTAGAGGGGAGGGGGTGGGGGGATGGGTTAGCCCAGTGATGGGTATTAGGGAGGGCACGTACTGAATGGAGCACTGGGTGTTATACGCAAACAATGAGTCATGGAACACTACATCAAAAACTAATGATGTAACATATGGTGACTAACATAAGAAAATAAAATTTAAAAAAAAAAGGGGAGCAGAGATATGGGTAGCCTTGAGCTGGACCTTGAAGATCGAGTGGGAATCAGCAGGGGTGGGGGCACATTTGGGCTGTGCTCCTTCTGGAAACTCTAGGGGAGAATCTTGTTCCTTGCCTCATCTAGCTTCAGGTGGCTGCTGGCATTCCTTGGCTGTGGCCAAATGGCTCCATTCTCTGCTTCTGTGATCCCATTGCCTGCTCTCTGTGAAATCTCCCTCTGCTCCTTCTTATCAGGATACATGGAGCTGTAATTTAGGGCCCACCTGCATAATCCAGGATAATCTCTCCTTCTCATAGTCATTATCTTGATAACATCTGCAAGGTCTCTGGTACCGTACAAGGCAGTATTCACAGATTTCCAGGGGCTAGGACCCGGACATCTTTGGTTGACCCGTCATTCAGCCTCGCACGCTGTTTTGCAGCCCCAGGACTGCTGACAGACACATGGCATGGCCACCACTAACCTGCATTCAGGCGAAATGGTCCCACCACTCTGTGCAAAACAGGGCAAGCTTGGCAGGCGAGGAGACCACCACCATCTTGGCATATGTGCCATATCCTCATCCGAGTCCGTCAACGGAGCCCCAACAGGGTAGAACGTCTCTGTGGTTTCTGGAGCTTACGGTTTCTCTCTGTCCTTTTCAACACTCTTGCCCTATGGCCCTTCCTGTTTGAAAGTGACCTGTTATTTTGTGTTTCTTAGAATGTGGCTAGCCGGCAGCCAACATTCATTTGAACCCATGCCCCATGTCATCGCTTTATGGGGATTCTTTCTTTTAGGCCAAGACAAGCTGGTGGTGGGGATACCATTTCTCCCCTCACTTCAGAGCAAAAGGAACCACAGTTCTGTGATTGGCTCAGTGGGTGACATGTCAAAAGTGGTGGAAGGAGGTTTCAAACCCAGGCCTCCAGGCCATTGAGCCAGTGTGCCATACACTGCCTCCCTGTCAGTCACAAGTCCATCTGATTATCAGTTTCCAGTGGTATTTTTGAAAATCTGATTTCATTTCACTAGATAACTAGCAGCATTCCTGTTGAGAGGCAATGGTGGGAATTCATACTTTATTGGAAAACATCTAATATTTTTAAAGATGACAGGCTGAGACTGCATCCCCTTTTCATAAGGGAAGTGTCTGGAGTGAAGTCGCCCTCTGTAAGAGTGTAGCAGAAGCTCAGCTTCCTTAAGTTGAATTCAAGTGATCTGCTATATTACTGTTGCTGCTCAACAGCCCTTTCTTCAGAAGTGCCTCAAATTAAAATTGTAAACAGGATTTTGAGGAGATACTTAAAATGCTTGAAGAACTAAAGCTGCTCTAGTCAGTTTAAAAGCGATGACTTCTGTACGAATAATTGATGTGCCGTCAGGTCCCCTCACCTGTCTTTCTCGGCACTACTTTGTCCACTTATCTGCAGTCACTGTTTATGTCAAAATAATGAAAGTACCTAGCTTCAGAGGCACCTGGCTGGCTCAGTCGGTGGAGTATGGGACTCTTGATAGCGGGGTCATTAGTTCAAGCCCCACATTGGGCGTAGAGCTTGCTTAAAAAAATAAGTAAATCAAGTTAAAAAAAAATAAGAGAAAGTACGTGTCTTTAAAGTTCTCTATGCCAGATCTTTCACTTAGTCTGATTTTGCCTTGAATCCGTGAAAGTGACCATGATACATGACTGTTGGGGAGCTGTTAGGATTTGGGGGGCTCCAGAAATGGCATCATGTATGCGAATGGCTGATGAGCACATGAAAACATGGAGCCCTCATACACTGACAGTGGCAATGTGAAATGGTCCAACCACTTTTGGGGAAAACAGCTTAGCAGTTTCCTAAAAAGTTAAATAAACATACATTTACTGTATGATCCAACCATTTCACTCTTCGGTATTTACCCAAGAGAAATGAAAACTTAAGTCCCTACAAATCTGTGTGTGCAAAAGTTCATAGCAGCGTCATTCATAGTAACCAAATGCTAAAAACAACCAAGTGTTGATCAGCTAAGGAGTGGATAAGTAACATGTGACCTGTCCATACAATGGAATACATCTTGGCGGTAAAAAGGAAGGAAATACGGACGCAGGCTGCAACACGGATGCACCTTAAAAACATGACGCTAAGCGACAGCAGCCAGACATGAAAGACCACCTATTATATGATTCCATTTAGATGACATTTCTAGTAAATGCAGAACTATAGAGACAGAAAGCAAATCCATGGCTGCTGGGGGCTGAGGGTGGGAGCAGGGGTTGACCTCAGGTGGCACACGAGACTTTGCGGCCGATGGAAGCCCTCTACCAGTGGATTGCGCTGATGCCCATGCAGCTGTATACATTTATGCCGTCTCATCAGACTGCACACTCATGATGGGTAAATTCCATGCTTCATAAAGGGTAACTCCATAAATACCGAAATCATCCAAAAATGACATCCTAGCAATAACTCTTTGTATACATAAATTTAGTAGTATTTCTAAGTCCCAAACGTTTACCAGAAGGCCCTCGCTTTATCTTGACGTAGGTATTCTGCTTACAAGCCACAGAATAGTTCATATTTTGTCAATTTAAAGGCTAAAAGGTGATCTCCCTTGTGTCAGGCCTTTAAGGTCTAGACTAGACCTGTTGGGCCAGTGATTTTTCTAAAATGATCACTGCTATGGGTTGAATTGAACCCCGTCCCCCCAAAATTTCATCTTTTGAAACCTTGATCCCCCAGTACCTCAGAGTGTGACCTTTTTAGAACTAGGGTCCTTGCAGGCGCAATGAGTTCAGATGAGGTCATACCGGAGTAAGGTGGGCCCCTGATCCAGTAAGACTGGTGTCTTTATTCAAAGGGGAGATTTGGACGCAGAGACAGGCACACGGAGAACATTGTGTGAAGACTGCAATTTTGCTGCCACGAGCCAAGGAACCCTTCCAGAACTATGAGAAGGTCTGGAACAGGTCCTTCCCTAGAGCCTTCAGAGGGAGCCTGGCCCTGCCCACACTTTGGTCTCGGACTTCTAGCAAGATAATACATTCCTGTTGTTTAAGCCACAGGCTGTGGTACTTGGCAATGACAGCCCTCGGTACGCTAATGTAATCACATGCACGAAAAGGAGTTTGAAATGCAGTTTGGCTTTGTGTGCATTGAGTGTGGTTTGTTTGTTTGTTTGTTTGTTTTAAATAACCTAGTCTCATCGGAATGCCATTGCCCCAGAGGAAGAGGAGTAGGCCCCACAGCTCCTGCTGTTCCATTTGCAGAAGGCTTTCTGTCCTAGACAGTAGCAGTTTTTGAAAACATGACCTTTTCTGGGGTTAAAAACGATCATTTCAAATGTCAGCAGTATCTTACAGCTACCTACTAATCGCGTGTTCTTCTTTGCCAGCTTGTTTTGACGGGAGCCATTCAAGTAGCAGACAAGGTTTCTTCAGGGAAGAGCTCAGTGCTTGTGCACTGCAGTGACGGCTGGGACAGGACCGCCCAGCTGACGTCCCTGGCCATGCTGATGCTGGACAGCTTCTATCGGAGCATCGAGGGCTTTGAAATATTGGTGCAAAAAGAATGGATAAGTTTTGGACACAAATTTGCATCTGTAAGTGAACAATAAAGCTGATTTCTTAGATGTCACATCACTGCCATTTGAGATTTAAAGACTAGTTGTTAAGCCGTATGTTTGCTTTTGCAAAGAAAATCTGAGGAGTCAGATGAGAAGTGTGTGCGATTCCTTGGGGGTAGTGAAAGTTGTTTTAGGAGACAGGTTTATCCATCTGCACTATTTACATTTTGACTTGGAAGTCATACCAGCAGCCTGCATGGAAATGTTTAAATTGAAATTGTGTGAAAGCAGGAAGGTAGGGTGACCGTTCTTTCTCAGCTACTATTATAACCATTAGAGCCAAATACATTTTACAGAGATGCTAGACTATTAGTCGAGGTTTTATTATTACTGTTATTATTCTCTGATGCACCTTTTGAAAATTGAGAGAACCTATTAAAATTCATATTTCCAGGTCTTATTTCCAGATAGACTTTGAAAAAGCCTTTAAAAAAAATAGAAAAAAAGATGTATTTACTTATGTATTTGAGAGCGAGAGAACACGCACGAGCAGGGGGAGGGGCAGAGGGAGACAGAGCACCTCCGGCGGACTCCCCACTGAGCGTGGAGCTCAACATAGGGCTTGATCTCACAACCCTGAGACCCTGACCTGAGCCGAAGAGTCAGACATGCTTAACCAATTGAGCCACGCAGGTGCCCCTGAAAAAGCCTTTTTTTTTTTTTTTTTTTTTTAAGATTTGATTTCTTTATTTGAGAGAGAGAGAATGAGAGATAGAGAGCACGAGAGCGAAGAGGGTCAGAGGGAGAAGCAGACTCCCCGCCGAACGGGGAGCCCGACATGGGACTCGATCCCGGGACTCCAGGATCATGACCTGAGCCGAAGGCAGTCGCTTAACCAACTGAGCCACCCAGGCGCCCCTGAAAAAGCCTTTTTAACAAGCTCCCTCAGATGATCCTCATCCATGTTTCCCAAGTAGTGTGAATGACATTTTCAAGTAGAAAGAACCATTGTTAATAAAAATAAATGGTGAGGCTTTTGTCTTGTTTTTAAGAGACAAAAAACTTCACTTCCTAATCATCACACCCTTTTGGACATGGTTTCGAGGCTTCAGACTTGAGGGTTGGTCCCTTAGCACTAGCTAACCTAACTGCAGGCTGAGCTGGCCCAGTCTACCTGCAGCTGCTGGTAGAAATAGCTGTGACTGTGATGATGCTTTGCCAGTTGGCATTGGGATGTTACAGATGTTTATACTGGATTTCTACTATTTCAAAACCTTTGCACATTTCTATATTGCCAAGGAAAAACATACAGCATTTACTCTCTGAGAAACTTGGCATTTGGAAAGCAGATTGATGAGTTGTATTGTCACATTTTGTGGGTTATATATGCTTTCGCAGTTTTGTACCCATAAATGAAAACAAATCGTCTTCATCCATTCATTTCAGAGAATAGGTCATGGTGATAAAAACCACGCCGACGCTGACCGATCTCCTATTTTTCTCCAGTTTATTGATTGTGTATGGCAGATGTCGAAACAGGTAAGGGATATGTACAGAATAAAAATACATTTGACTTCATGTTTAAGTATTTTGATCTAATGTCCGGGATTTGCCTCCCAGTACACAGGGCCGAGATGGAGATGAAACGAGTCTGGCCCTCTGTAAGTCATTGCTGAAGCCAGGGGATGGGTCCATGGGGTTTACGGTTTTATTCTTGCTACTATTTATGTCTGGGATTTTCCATAATGTTTTAAAATTTCGGTACTTCACTGCGTCCTGTCTCCTAATGGAACTGACAGTCCCAAGTCGTCTTTTCCCTTCCCTCTGAACCGGCTTATGGTACATAGGACACCGTCAGTGAAGAAACTACCCTGTACGCTCAGGAGAACCCAGAAAAGCTGCTTGTTTTCCTTTGATTCCTTTGCTTGACACTCCTTCAAACTCCTCAGGCCTGTGCAGAGCACCAAGAAATGAGCTGTAGGCTGTGTGCAGGTAGCAACCTCTGCTGGCCTTCCTGAAAGGCTACAAGGTGGCATCATGTAGACACCTCTTTTCAGTCTATAAAAGATCAGTCCCAAGTTTTCATTCTTTGTTGGCGTTTGTCTAGTTCCCTACAGCTTTTGAATTCAACGAACGATTTTTGATTACAATTTTGGATCATCTGTATAGTTGCCGGTTTGGTACTTTCCTATACAACTGTGAATCTGCTCGAGAAAAACAGGTGAGTGGAAATGGTAATCTGTTTAGTTAAATATGCCTAGTCTTCCGTGAATTAAAAAAAAAGAAAATTATAGCTTGGTTTGTGGGAAATGCAGAGGGTTTGTTGAGTGTCTGGCATTTACTGCAGGGGTAAGACATTGACTTTTTGCCTTTGGAGAGTAGGCATGACTTTAAAGGTATGGAAGGTCTCCCTCCCAAAACACCATAAAAACGTCAGGAAAGGGCATTGTTTTAAAGCCATAAACCTCTAAGAACAGGGAAGATGAGAAAGGAGACACAGCAACCAAATTTGGGAAGCCGAAAAGTTTGTAGATGACCTAGCTTGAGAAACGGAGTCTCAAACCAGCAGCGGGGAAGCCGAGAAGCAGCCCCACCTGGCATCGCGTAGAGCCCCAGATGACTCGGGGTCTGGGGCGAAGGGGGAAAGATAAGGCAACCTGCAGTTCTGTTTGGAATAAGCAGTTAGCTTCCCCAGACCCCGTCTCCTCTTCTCTGGAGCTGATGACTCTGACAGAGGTTTCTTCTCGAGAGAGCATAAGAGTGGCTCTCCGGGCTGGGGACCCGAGTATCATCAGGGGGTGAGGTGAACGGACAGGAGCTCACTCTCCCTACTGACTCCCAGCATTCTGGCAACAGGTCCTTATATGTTCTGGATGGGAGCACGAAAGAACCTTCTCCGTTGGCGAGGGTGGGGGGAGAAAATGGAGCCCTCATACACTGCTGGTGGGGATGTAAAGTGGCGTGGCTGTTGTGGCAGACTGTCTGGCGGTTTCTCAGAAGGCTAAGCAGAGAGTGTGTCCTGTGACCCAGCAGTTCCACTCGTGGGCACATACCCAAGGGAAATGAAAACAGGAGATGAAGCAAAAAATCACACACAGATGTTCAAAGAGCTAAAAGGTGGCAACAACCCCAGGGCCCGTCTGCTGATGACAGCATGAACAGAATGCGGCCTAGCCGTATGCTGGACTATTATTCAGCCGTAAAAAGGAAGGAAGTTGTGACCCGTGCTACAGCGTGGACAAACCTTGAAAACATGCTCAGCGAGGGGAGCCAGACGCAAAAGCTCACAGATGGCATGATTCCATTTCTAGGAAATGTCCAGAATAACAAGGCCATCACGGCAGAAAGCAGATGAGTGTTTGCCGGGGGCTGGAGGGAGGGGAGAATGCGCAATGCCTGCTTAGTGGATACAAGGGTGATGAAGAGCTCTGGGAACTTGAGAGAGGTGGTGGTGGCACAACTGAATCGTAGACCGTAAAGTGGCGAATTTTACGGTACGTGAACCCCACCTCAATTTAAAAAAGTCATCCCTGGGGAAACCGACTAGCCCAAGAGGAAGGACCGAAAGATAGCAACACCCAGGGTTCCCCCCAGTGAAGCTCATGTCGGTGAGCCTCCTGGTCCCAGAGCTTCCAGTCGGCTCTTCAGTGCTCCACTCTTAAATAATAGCAGATAGCCAGGGGAGAGAAGAGCAGCTTGGAGAGAATGATTACCAGGTAGGGAGGGGGGAGACGTAGACAGGCAGCTAGCAGCGAATATCCCAAGAAAGATAAAATATTGGTACCGTGAAATAATAACAGGATGTTGTTTGGAAAGAATATGTAGAGATCAGAAAACAACCTGAAATGAAAAGAGGTTAAAAACTCAGAAGAAGATTTGGAAGATGAAGTGGAAATCTCCCAGAATAGAGCATTAGAAATAGAGGTAGAAGATGGAAAGATCAGCAAACTAGATCAGTCCTAGAGTCCAGTATCCACATAAGAGGGCTTCCAGAAAGAAAAACTGCAGAGACCCCAGAGCAGGAAATCACCAAAATAATTTGAGAATATTTCCCAGAATTGAAGTACGTAAGTTTCCACATTGAAAGGCCTGCCACGTGCCCAAGCATGGTGGACAAAATAGGCCCGTGCTAAGGCCCATCTTTGTGAAGTTTCAAAACACCAAGGGAAAAGATCCCTCAGGCTTCCGGAGAGAAAAGGAATGGGCCGTTTGTGAAGAGACAGATCAAGAAGGCAAAATTCTTCATTAGCAGTATCGGAAGCTGGAAGTCAGTGGAGCACTGCCTTCAGAATTTTAAAGGAAAATGGTTTCAACCTAGAGTTTTCTAGCCACCAAACTGTCAGCCAGGTTTTTAGGTAGACCAAAGATATTCTCAGACATGCATGGCATCAAGAGTTCCCTCCCACACCAAACCCTTTCTCTGGAAGCTGCTGGAGTGTCGGCTCCATGCAAACAAGAAAGAAGACTGGGGGGGCGCCTGGGTGGCTCCGTCGTTAAGCGTCTGCCTCGGGCTCGGGTCATGGTCCCGGGGTCCTGGGATCGAGCCCCGCATCGGGCTCCCTGCTCCGCGGGCGGCCTGCTTCTCCCTCTCCCTCTGCCCCTGCTTGTGTTCTCTCTCTCGCTGTGTCTCTCTCTCTCTCTCTCTCTCTCTCTCTCTCTCTCTCTCTCAAATAAATAAATAAATAAATATCTTAATAAAAAAACAAGAAAGAAGACTGTGGAACTCAGGAGAGAGAGGTGACAGGGGATGCTCAGGGCGAAACGGAAAGGAGATCATAGGTGCCGGCCGGGCTCGAGGCGTGGGGGCAAGCAGTGTGGCTTGCTTTCCTCTGAGGAAGAAACTGAGGGCGCCAGAGGTGCTGAGGGTCTTGACACAAGTTTGAGACATTAGAGGAAGAGCTGGGGTTGAATTCATGATAAATATCAAGAAGAGTTAGCACACAGAATAGATAGTTGTTAAATCGAGGGAAGACAACAAAAAATTCGTGCGGGAGAAGAAATCACAGAAAGGGACAGCGGGGCCTGCCTGAGAGTAGCATTTGCCTCATCATAGGGATCCAGACACTAAATGTCACTCTCACGAAAGCTGTGCTGCATGCTGGGAGCACGAGGCAGGACAGACAAAGTAAGTGCCTGGAGCTGCACGGCCCCCGGGTAGCAAGGAAAGCATATTATTCAGAGATGTGGAGCTTAAGTACCAGATAGTCAAATAAATCAATTTAAAAAAAAGCAAACACAGTTGCTTGTGGGGAGGTGAGAGATAGCTGGGGGTTTTTTTGTTTTTTTGTTTTTTTTCTCAAACCTGGTCAGGCTATTTGACTTTTAAACTATGTGCATGTACAAAAATAAAAGCAAGCATGCAAATGAACGCAACACGGTATAGCTTGTGGCATCCGAAAGGTACCAGTGAATGAAGTTTTAGGTGGATTCCAAGGAAGACAAATTTATGCTGCCATATATCTTGTTCACATTAATGAAATATGTATGTTAAAGACATTTCTTCCGTCACTTATTTTAAGCCGTTCTTTTTTAGCTCCCAGTTTTAGCTTATTGGTCCTTTCTTATTGAAGTCATTACTGGGAAGAGTTTCAAAGTCCGCCTTCGGTCATTTTAATAATTGTACATTTATTTCCCAAGCCTTGGGGTTTTTTTCTAGTTTACACTCAAAATTGGTAAAAACCTCTAATAAACAATGAAAATGTGAATATCTGTATGAGCTGATGGACACCAAATGAGAAAGTAAAGATTCAGTGAAGTCAGTTATCCAGGTGTTTTCAAATATCTGCACATTAGCATGATAGAGAGCGAACATCTGGGCGGTTGGTTAAAAAAAACTTTTTATATAGATACCTACTGTCAAGCAGGCACAGGTTAAGATTTTACAGTTCTAACAAATACAAAAATGAAGAAAGCCGACAGGATCTTAACGATAATTTTTCTTTCTGCTGAATTATAAAGAGCATACTGCCCATCTGTTCATAAATCTTTTACCTAGCCAGGAATAGTCGTCTTAGGTCAGTGAATTGCATTTAATGGTACAGCGTCCTGCACCTCTGTCTCCTGGCAGAAATAGTGGCTCTCAAGCTAGGCCATTATCTATGCAAATATCAGTAAGTGGCTGCTGAACACTCACTGGCCCATGAGGCTTTTTGAGCTATTATGGGGATAATGTAAATGTGTGATTCGAGTTGAGGCTCAACTGTAGTGCCACGGGCTGAAAAATGGTTTGTGTACTCGTGTGTTTTTACTTAGGCTTTCCACTTTCTCTTTCTCCATAGAAAGTTACAGAACGAACAGTATCTTTATGGTCACTGATAAACAGTAATAAGGACAAATTCAAAAATCCCTTCTATACTAAAGAAATCAATCGAGTTTTATATCCAGTTGCCAGTATGCGTCACTTGGAACTTTGGGTGAATTACTACATTAGATGGAACCCCAGAATCAAGCAACAAGTAAGTGAAGTGACATTATTAAAAGGCAGTGATGTCTATTGATTATGACTTCTGGGTTTAGATTAATGTTACTCGGTAGTGGTTTTTTGTTGTTTTGTGTTTTTTTTTCAATATTATGAGGGGGGAAATGGACTAAAAAAATCACACTTGCTTTCAAATGCAACTTTAAAAATTGTTTTAATTACTGAGCTACTTATTTTGATTGGTGTTAAACTTATATTCTTACAAATAACGTAATTTTTTTTTTTTTTTTACTAAAATGTAAACTGATTGGAAGCTCTGGAAAATATTTGAGTTTTGATTGCTAAGGATTTCCTTCAAGTAGTGGACATTGTTACACGTAATAAGAAAATTCTTTCCAGTGAGTAGACTTTGATGATCCTTCAAGGAAACAAAACATTTTCTTCTGTCTGCTTCAGGTGTATGTACTGGGTCAGCTAACATCAGAGTGCATTTCACTGAGGATCCTTACTTCTGAAATAAAGATAATTGATCTGTCCGCGGATAGTACATTCAGTTGGCCATTTATCAATCAAAAAGAGAAACAATGATTTTTGAAGCAAAAGAGGCCCCATTTTGTTAAGGACACACTCGGGCTTTCCATTCTCCCACCTCCACTCTATCCAAAATCAGAAGAGAAACACAGCCTGTGTGTAAGGGCTGGGAAGTTCCTCCAGTTTGTGATTTGTTTTCAGGGCTATAAATATTCAGTATTTGCGATCGCTCTTTTGTAAAGGTTTGCACATTTTCCTGCGGTTTGGACGGCCGGCTACCTGTTCTCACAGGCCAGTCTTGCGTAAGCACCAGCTTTAATCCCGCTCGAAATCGCGGGGCAGCAGCAGGGCCCGGGCGCTGCATTCTGTCTCTTAGATTGTTTATCCCACTCAGGCAGCTGGCTGCACGCCAGGCTGTGCCCTCTCTTCCCATTGGGGAATGCCTGCTTCAAGCTGGCACTCTCGTTTCAAGGTCTCTGCTGCTCGCATGGAAGGCTTCTGCAACTCAGTAATGGTGGAAACGTGTAATCTCTTGGAAAGTGACAGAGTCCAGGGCTTGAGAACACTCACTTGTTTGGTTTGAGATTTGAGAAGCACAGGGAGGGAATTTATTTAGCAGTAGTTCTAGCCTTTGGAATATCAAGTAAAGAGGAAATGGGAATTTTGCCAGGGTTCTAACTGCTGTTACAGAGGACATGTTCCTTTTCTAATTAAAAAAAAAAAAAAACAAACCATGTAAATGTGCAGTGTCTCCTATAAATTGATCCTTTTCTGTGTTTATTGTCACTTTTTTTTAAAACATTAGTAATTAGAAAGTATCACCAATTTTGGTATAGATTCTCTAATCTCCCCTCACCCATTTGTATTTGGAGAAATTCTTAAAATTCAAGGAATTTAGAGCAATTCATTTCTGAACATATAAAGGTAATAATTGTGTGACAAGTCAAGTAGGAAGAAACATCATTAGAATAACTTACTAGAGTGTATCTACCCCCTTATTTTTATGGAGGTTAGCAAAATGGAACTGGGCCAGATAGGAACACACGTTTTTTGATAGAGGTTTCTATTTTGAGACAGTAATTGGTCTGTATTATGATCTGTGAAATTTACTCAAAAAAGAAAGTAACTTATCCTTCCTATATAGATTTTTCTGAATGTGGAGGGTACTACACATATCTTTGTATTTTCAGGGCAGCGAGGGGAGGGGCTGTGGAATACAGAGATTAAGAAGAGGTCATCTCTGGCCCCAGGAGCTCCCAGGCTGATGGGGGTGCCTAGAAACATAAGCCGGTGATGGTAGTGCTCGGGGAGAAATGTCATAATGGAAGGTGTGAATTAAATGTATTACATTTCCTTAAAGATCTCCTGTACAACATTATTTGATACAGAAATAAATTTGAATCGGATCACCTAGGACTTTTTAAATTATAAAATGTAAACCTCAAGGAATATCCTTAACCACTTAAAAGTTAAATTGTTGTTCAGTTGTGTGGCCCAGTTGGTATACAAACAATTACCGGGCACCTGTCGCCTTCACAGCACTGCAGTACACTAGCAGACACAGCCCGTCCCTCTAATGAGGTCTGGCCTAGAAGAAGGCAGGGTCAGTGTGCTTTTTAAAAGCAAAAACCACCAACCGTTGCTGCGACATAAAAACTCAGCGGAGTTGACAGAAAGAGCAGTGCTTACATTTGAAGAGCTGTCGGGAAGCCAGTTTGGTACATGTATTAAGATGAGGGAATTGCTCATGCCGGAAGCAAAAGTGTTCCATGAGTCCCGTTATAAGCCTGAATGAGGCCTTGGGCTGCTGGGGCGCCTCCTATTATATATCCTTCAGCAGCTGCCGCCCTCCGGTAGCGGTTAAGCAGGCTCGCACTGGCGAGCTCACATCTTTGCACAGTGATCGCCGAAGGATGAGAACAGAGACAGTCAGATAGGAACAGGCCGACCTGCGTGGTGCTAAAGTCATTTCTGAGGGGAACGCCAAAAGGAATGGGACTCTAAAAGCTGTTTGAAGGCCAAGATACTTCCATAGCTAGCTCATGGCCCGTGTTGTGTGCTGCGCTGAGCACATTGTGGACTTCGCATTCGGTCCCGGGGGAGAGGCCGGGCTGTAGCATTTGCAGCCGCTTGACTTTAAACTTCATTTCTTGTGATTTTGCCTTTTGGACTCTTTCCTTCTAGCCTCTCAATGGTTTGCATTTGTCTGTAGGCGAATGGCTTCTGGATATTTTGTCCCCATCACCAGACTGAATTCTCTTCATTTCGAATCATTTTTTGGTCTACTCTCTTGAGATTTCTAATTATACAGCCTTGTCATCTGCAGAAATGGTTTTTTTACCTCTGATTCCTTTTTCTTGTCTAATTGTCCTTGCTGGTACAATAACAAACTGATTCTAATAGTCATCTGAAGAAAGGGAAATATAAAAAATAGCCAGGACAACTTCGGAGGAGAATATCGAGGAAGAGCTTGCCCCGCTCTTTGCAAGGGTCGAGCCCAGCAGCAGCCTGCGCAGGTGGGGAGCCCCGGTAGGTTGATGCAGAGGGCGGAGGAAGGACCGGCGATGGTAAACTGGCCTCACACAGCAGATCAACGTGGACATTGTCTAAAATGGGTCTCCTGGTCCCCCAGAACCTGTTCCTCCTGCCATCTTTCCCATGTCGGTTCTTGGCAACTCCACCCTAGTCACTCTGGCCAGAAACCGGGGAGCCCTCCTCGACTCCCTTCTCTCTTGCCCCCCCTTGTGCAGTCTGTCGGCAGAGCCTGCTGGACTCGGCCTTCAAAACCCACGTGACCCCAGGCCCTCCGTACCAGTCCCCCCGCTGCCGGCCTGGTGCAGGCCGTGTGGTGCTGCCTCGCCTTCTAGCTGGACTCCTGAATTCCACCCTTCCATCTTTCTGGTGTGTTCTCAACATGGTAGCCAGAGCGATCCTTGTAAAGTACATCCCACATCCCACCGCCCCTCCACACAAAACTGTCCAGGGAGCTGCTCACCTCACCCGGCACCAAAGCCCAGGTCCCTGCAGTGGTTTCCGAGGCCTGAGCGGCATCCCCCCCGTCCTGCACCTCTTACCCTGGTCTGCTTCCTTTCCAGAATGTTCCTCACCTTTGAACACCCCCTGGAACTCAGACTTGTGGTATTCTTTGCTTGTCTGTCTCCCTCTGCTGGAAGGAAAATGCCATAAAAATGGGGATTTGGGCCTCCTTTGTTCACTGATGGATCCCACGTGCCCAGAACAGTGGCTGCCCTCAGCTGAATATACAGAGAAAAATGGACAAAAGACATTAGCAGGTTGTGCACAGCATCTGCTGGGTGTCACGCACTCTACCAAGCATTCCTGTTCTTTTTTTTTTTTAAGACTTTATTTACCTATTTGAGAGCACGAGAGAGAGAGAACACACAAGCAGGGAGGGCAGAGGGAGAGGGAGAAGCAGGGCCCCCGCTGAGCAGGGAGCCCGATGTGGGGCTCGATCCCAGGACCCTGGGATCATGACCTGAGCCGAAGGCAGACGCTTAACCGACTGAGCCACCAAGGTGCCCCCAAGCATTCCCGTTCTAATGCCACATGTGCCTTTCTGAAAAGCTTCACATTCTGCGGTCACAGTAAAGAAACAGGGCTTACAGGGAGAATAGGATTAGGAGCAAGGAGGAGACCTCTTCCAGCCTGTGGACGTTCGTAACCAGAGCTCTAGTGGAAACACCAGTGCGGGCCCCTGGCTGGCTCAGTCGGGAGAGCATGCAACCCTTGGTGTCAGGGTTGTGAGTTTGAGCCCCACATTGGATGTAGAGGTGACTTAAAAATACAGTCTTAAAAAAAGAAAGAAAAGAAAGGGACGCCTGGGCGGCTCAGTCGGTTAAGCCTCTGCCTTCAGCTCGGGTCATGATCCCAGGGTCCTGGGATCGAGCCCCGGAATCGGGCTCCCTGCTCCGCGGGGAGTCTGCTTCTCCCTCTGCCTCTGCCACTCCCCCTGCTTGTGTGCATTCTCTCTCTCTCTCTTTCCCTCACAAATGAATAAATAAAATCTTTAAAAAAGAAAAAGAAAAAGAAACACCAGTGCCACTAGAAATGCGGGTACCGTCATATGTCTGTGGCATTTTTATCTGGCCTCTGTCGACCACTCCTTGGCAGCTTGTGGTGGGTCGAATGGTGTCCCCCTAAAAGCCATGTCCACTCTGAACCTGGGAATGTGACCTTGTTTGGGAAAGGGGTCTTTAGAGATGTTACTAAGTTAAGGCTCTGGAGATGCCGTCCTCCTGGATTTGGAGTGGACCCTACATGGCGTGACAGGCGTCCTTACAAGAGGAAACGGAAGGGCATCTGAGCCGCAGACGCTTATGGGGAGAAGGCGCCGTGAAAACAGAGGAGGTGGGAGGGATGCAGCCACAAGCCAGGGAAGCCCGGGGCCCCCCCGAAGCTGGAAGAGGAGAGGAAGGAGCCTGCCCTGGAGCCTCAAGAGGGAGCACAGCACTGCTGACAGCCTGATTTCAGGTTTCTGCCCTGCAGAGCTGTGAGAAAATACGTATCTGTTGTGTTAAGCGCCCCCCCCCCCACCCTGTTTTGTGTTCATTTGTTATGGCAGCCCCAGAAAGCTCAGACACAGTCTTAACCCCCAGGGTTCCTGCTGTCTCCTCGAGGCTCTGGTGCAGCCCACTCTCGTCCACATTACGGATCCAGGCCAGGGTGCGGTCTGCTTCATCAGTGCGTTGTCTCCACAGCTTCCATGTTGGGGCTCATAGCCTAACGCGGTGGAAAGCAGGATGGTTCCAGAAGCGACTAGAGCTGAAGGAATGCACTTCCATAGACTTCTGGCCTTTTTCTTAATGTCTTCATATACTGCTCGAGCTTTCTAGGAGCTTGCCTTTAATCACCTCAAAAACACTGGTGAGGGAGTCTTCTGGGGGCTGTCCTATCGTGTATCTTGGCCTTGGGTGGGTGATCGCATTAGTGTATGTCTATGTAAAGGCTCACTGAGCTGAACATTTTAAGCTTTGTATACATTCCTGTCTGTAATTCATACATTGGTACAGAGGTGTAAAAAGTCTGCACGCTGGGGAGCATCACTTTCTGTTCTAGCCTGACTTCTAACCTCCGGGCCGCCGCGAGACCGCCCATTCATCAGTGAAGCAGAACTGACCGTATTGGCTGCCCTCGCTCTCCCAGCAATCCCGTGAGGTCTGTGCCGTTTTTAGTCCCATTTCGCCAGTGGGGAAATGGAGGCATCCAGGTTAAGTCCGGCAGCTGGTGAGAGGCAGACCCGAGACTGACCCCGAGGCTAGCGGGCGTCAGCCCTGCAGTTGGCAGCTATGAGTGAGCACGTGAAAAGAGGCGCTAGAGCAGAACGGTGCAAACTCAAGCTGCCCTGAGATGCCACCTTATAGTCACCAGATTGGCCCAAACCAGAAAACAATTACTCTTGTATCCCAAGCGCTGATGAGGACGTGGAGCCGCAGACATCACTAGTGACGGAGTGTAAGGTCATACCGCCACCTCAGAGAACGGTTCGGCAACATGTGACAAAGCTGAAGAGACCACGCTGTCCTCCCCGGCAGGCCCCCCCCCCCCCCAGGAAACTGCCTTCAAGAGCCATTAGCGTATGTGCCCGAGGACAACACAGCATTGCGTGTAGTAGCGGGAGCACTGGACGTCCCCGGGTATCTGTCACTGCGGGAGTGCAGAGATCAGCTGTGCTTTATTCATTCAGTGGGACTCAACTGGGATCGAATTCAGAAACATGGGTGAAAATGTCAGGTGATAAATACAGAATCCCACCATTAATGTAACTTTCACAAGATAGACAATAATAGCGTATTTTGTTTCCAGATACTCATGTATAGGAAAAGTATCATAAATCTGCATGGGAAAGAAGGCCACACGCCAACCTGAGAAGAGTTGTTGCCTCTGGGAACGAAAGAGGGCAGTGGGCCTGGAGCCAGGGAACACAGGAGACCGGAGTGGTGTCTGGGTTGATAAACCTTAAAAAGATGGCAAGGCATCTGCGAGGCAAATGCAAGGCCACGTGTACATGAGCTTCTTTCTTGGTGGCGAAGAGCTGGGTGTTTTACCCTTGTACTTTTCTGTATTTTTGGCGTCTGTGCATTAAAGGTCAGTACGAGGGTTTCTTGTAACACCCGTTTTGTGCTTCCTTCCAGCAGCCCAATCCAGTGGAGCAGCGGTACGTGGAGCTCTTGGCCTTGCGCGATGAGTACATACAGCGGCTCGAGGAACTGCAGCTTGCCAGCTCGGCCAAGCTCTCCGATCCCTCGACTTCGCCTTCTGGTCCTTCACAGATGATGCCCCATGTGCACACTCACTTCTGAGAGGGAACCCCGGTGCCGCGTTAGAGCTCTGAATAAAGGAGATGGTTGACTTTCATTTAGGGCCTCTGTACAAAGTAGATTAAAATATTTGCCTCCGTGTAGAACTTGAACTAACATAATCTTAAACTCTTGAATATGTGCCTTCTAGAATACATATTACAAGAAAACTAGTGTCTACAGGGCAATCAGAAGAAAGGAGCCAAGATGGGGTTTTGGAAAATCCTGACACCTTTCAAGAACAGTTTTTGAAAGATAAAATTGAAATTGAATTTACCTCTTTCGAAATACTGTGTATACAATACGTATTTTGTGGGCTTAATTGGAACGGCATGATTTTAAACTTAAGTGAAAAAATAGGTTTGTGAACCGGATTTTCCTTAGGCTGCTTCTAATAGTTGCTTTGGAGTAAAACGAGCCCAAATGTGAAAGATGTTATTGCCAAAACCAGATCGAGCTCATCTTCTGAGGCATCATCCAAAATCAAGGTGTTTAAATAATTGCCAAACTTTATACCATTGTAAGTGGTGGCTTAAAGAGAAATAGCTGTGTAGATGAGTTTTTCGTTATTTTGAAATTTTGGAATCTGAAGTGTTTTCCCCCAATTTTCAAGAGGAGCATATTTTTATATTACACTGATGGGGCCCAGTCAAATATGATTTTTCTTTAATTTTTTTGCCAGTTCCATTTTCTAAGTTCTTCCATGAGCTTGCCTAAAATTCTGGTCCATTTTCAGGTTGTGGAAACCCCCTTATATAGCACTGTTTGAGGATGTCGGGGGCATTATGCTGCTTTGGTGAATGTTTTCGCAAACGTCGCTCTAGTCAGACCAGCTTATCTGCCAAAGTGTGGGGTTGACCATCTTGGATGTATGAGCTGTTGCTAGAGCATCATTCTTTGAAATAAAAGCCGCAGATGTACATTTGTTGAGCGTATTCTTGAAAGTATTGTATTTCAATTTACATGGTGTTGGATGCCCTCCCCCCAAGCGTGCATTAAACTGGTTCTGCAAATTTTTACTTGAAATGTACCCGGCAGTTTGCTTTTTCAGGTTTTTGGGGCGTTTTTTTGTTTTGTTTTGTTTTTGTTTTTGTTTTTGGTAGTAGTACTAGTGGTAAATGAAGTTTCAAATGCAGTTCTATTTGATATCTGAACTAATTCATTTAGTTAAGTATATTTGTAAAAGTTAAGGCTAGAGTTAAAACAATTAATGTTTTACAGTGATTTGTAAAGGACTATTTATAGCTAATATGTTTTCAATGAATTAAGAGAGATTAAATATATATCTTTGTAAATTATTTTATGTCATAGCTTAATTGGTCTACCAAATAAGACATCTCAAATACAGTAGTATCGTGTATAAATTTTGTATGTATAAGAAATTTTATTAGACATCCTCTTGCTTTTTGTAAACGCTGTAAATATTTCATAAATTAACAAAGTGTCACTCCATAAAAAGAGAAAAGCTAATACTAATAGCTTAAAGGATTTTGTGAAATGTCATGAAAAAGTTTTCATGACAATAATGACTAAAGACCTGCTGTAATAAATGTATTAACTAAAATAGCACTCTGTTTTCAGGGGTGTAACTGTGTGTCGGGGGGTGGTGTTTGGGTGTCTTTTCTTTTCCTGGCTCAACTTCACATGCTCTTTGTCTTACTAGCAACCTTGCAGGCCTCTCCCAAAACTCAACAATATGGGACATTTAACTGTATTAACGGTGCCAATTTTAAGCCACAGCTGTCTTTCTTTTAAAGTCCGGAGACCTTCCGCAGAAGAGCCAGGGTGCGTAGACGTGAGACTTCAGACTCTGGATGCGGACCACAGTGGCCAACGTTAAGGGAGGGTGAGACATTGGCACAAGTTAAGCCATAGTTGGTGTCTCTTGTGGTAAGAATTCAAAATTGTTTTCAAATAGTACAGCCGGTTGGAAATTATGTGCATTCTAAGAATGCTAAATAGTTCTAGCAGTAAACTAAAATTAACCATTTTTTTGGAAATCTGAATAGGACTCTTAAAAGATTAAGTGTATCTTTGAAAACTCTGAGTATTTGAAATTCTCTGCACAAGGTTCTTCCTCAGACATTGCTGTGTTGAGTCCTCACTGCAGCCTCATGGTTCTCCGTGGCATTCTGAGTTCCCAGTTAATAGCCTTAGCTCTGCCATCGGGAATGAAATAGAATAATCTCTCTTTCTGGGGCAGCCCTTCAAATAATTTGAAATCATATATATTTTTGATAATATAATAGTTTTCCCTAACTATGGTCCTAGCACTTTCTGATCTACTTTTGATAATGCAATGAAGCTTACCCTTCTTTTTTGGTAGGAATAATACTCAAAACTCTCAAAATAAGCTGACTAGTAGTTCATCACCTGCAGCCCTCTCCACAGAACACAGATTTGTGGTGTCGGTCATTCGGACAGCTCTTGTGGCGTGTGGGGCATTGGACGAAAGCAGGACCATATAAAGGGAATGTTCTTAAGTATGAGAGTTTTTCACACAGTATCTACACCTGTGACTGGAGGACATGGCCATCAGAGCAGAAGCACAGGGGACCCCCCAAAGCAAATAAGAAACATATGCAGGGCGCATCCCACAAATAAGGAGGATTAGCACATCTGCAGGAAAATATTATGGTTGAAATAGATTGCAGTTGAATTGTTGGAGGTTCACAGAATCCCTCACTAAAAGCACGATGCTGGAATACCAATACTTGAAGTGAGTCTAATCCTCCAACATCTATGGGTGGGCTTCTAACTTAATTAAGGAATTACTAGCGAAGTCTTTTGTATTAAACGTATTTTGAAGATGAAAGATCAGCAAAACGAAGCATGCTCATTTCCTCATGAGGCTTAGATTCAGACACGGATTAGTCCTTATTTGCGAAGGCAATAATGTATTTAACCACATAGGGTAGCTACACATTTACACATGACCGTTAGGTCCCGACGGTTCATTTTCCAGTAGCTTTGGACAACATGACTTACTCATTTACAGCTGGTAATACTCACGTGCTTCTGAAATTGACTGCATTTTCCAGTGCATTCCATATAAATTACAAAAGAAAGTCGTTCACCTCGTTTTGGGGGCCTGATCACACAAACTTGTCTTAGGATGCATGGAGACCTGGGCTTCTGTCTGAGCTCTGGAACTGCTTCTTGGATGGAAGGTGTGAGGCGCTCCCAGCTCCCAGATGTGAAGGATCTGGAGGCCTGGAGGAGGCCTCACTGTCCACTGTTCAGCTAGGGTATGGGCTTCACGTTCTCGAAGGTTCCTTCCAGTTCAAATGGCCCTTCCCAGAAAATGCATTTTAATCACTCGTGCCCGTATAAGATTTATGGCACAAAACAGCACTTGCCTCACACATTAGCTTCCTGTTTCTGCTACAAGAAATCACCACAAACTTAGTGGTGATTATCTTACAAGGCATTTATCTTCTTACAGTTCTAGAAGGGTCAGAAGTCTGAAATTGGTCTCACTGGCCTAAAGTCAAGGTGCCGGCAGGGCTGCGTTCATTCTGGAGGCCCTAGGGGAGAGTCCTTTTCCGGCTTCTCGTGGCCGCCCGCTTCCCCGGATCCGTGGCCCGTTCCCCTGTCTCTAAAGCCAGCAGCAGAGCATCTTCAAATGTCTGGACTCTGACTCTTCTCCCTCCCTCATTGACATTTGCAGGCCCCTGGCAATACCGGGCCCACCTGGATAACCGAGGCTAGTCTCCCCATCTCAGGGTCAGCTAACTGGTAACCTTAATTCCCTCCGCCACCTTAACGCCCCCTTGCTGTGTAAGCTACCGTATTCCCAGGTTCTGGGGATTAGGACGTGGACATACTTTGTGGGGAGGGGCATTATAATGCTTACTGTGCCTCAGTCCTTCCAGCTTCAGATGGTGGGTGAGCGCCGGGTGAGAGAGGTCGAGACTGCTTGGCTGTCCCGTTACCAGCTACACAGTTCCTTTAGGTAAAGGCCAGCTCAGTCCATTCCGTGACATCTCAGAGAAAATCGAGCCTTATTGGTTGCCTCTGGCTTTGCCCCCGGGTCTGGCGACCCTTTCTGTCCTCGCATCTGTCCAAAGCCAGACCATGTGCTTTCAACTCCCTTGGTCCCTAAATGGAGGAAAGGGAGCTGTTTACTGGGGGTGTGTGTGCCGAACACTATACTATCTAGCATCCCCTCGACCTTATAAAATTGATAGGGTTTTTTTGGTTTTTGGTTTTTGGTTTTTTGGGGTTTTTTTTTTTTTTTTTTGGTCATTTTATAGATGAGACTAAGGCTCGGAGCCAGGAGTGCTTTTATAAAGTAAGGTCACTTCAACAAAGACTGTCTACTATGACCCAGACCTGCGCCAGCCGTTTTTTATCTGAAAACAGAAATGAGTAAAACAGTGGCCTCCTTCAAGGAGCGCCTGGCCTAGAGGGAAGACGGTTCGGTTAACGGCTAATTCCCATGCAGGGTGCCGCCTGCTCTGACAAAGGATGGGAGGTCAGGGAGGAACTTCTCGGGAATGCCGTCAGAACTGAGTCTTGAAAGTTAAGTAGGAGCTCGGTCACATCTGTCTTTGGGGAAATGCACGTTCAAACCACACTGAGATACTATCCCACACCCACGTATGGGCAAAACTTTTAAAAGTCTGGCAATCCCAAGCATTAAAAAGGTTGTGGGCCGATAGGAATTCTCACACACTGCTTTGAAGAACAGTTGGCATCATCTGGTAAAATCGATGCCTACCCTATGATGTAGCATTTCCACTCTCAGTCATATAGATGCCCTTGAGAAATAAGAACTTCTATGCACCAAAAGACATGTACGAGAATATTCATAGCATTGTTTCTAATGCCCCCCCAAAGCTTGAAACACCTCAAATACCCATCTACAGTAGAACGGATGAATTGTGGCGTATTCACACAATGGAATTCTATGCACCCAGGACGAATGATCAAACCACAGCTACATACAACACGGATGACTCTCATAAGCTTGTTGGTTGAAAGAAGCCAGAAACAAAAGAATATATACAATAGTACTCCATTCGTCGAAGTTCAAAACCAAACAAAACTCTTTTTTTTGGCGTGTATACATGGTAAAACAACAAAGAGAAG